AATGACCTAAATAGAGCCAAAAGTCGTGTATTTAACAGCAGCTAAAACCTCCCAGAGTTCCCACAGTGGGTCAGAAACTGGATGAAGGGGACTGAACCCCAGCAGCTCTGATGGAGGGATGGATCCTCCACGTTATGAAGCAGAGTGGGATCATCTGACAGAGAACGGAGCCAAAGGCAGCAGCAGAATCCAGAGAAGAGCTCTGGGACGTGCTTCAAGAAGCCGGAGAGCTTTTCCTGGAGGATCCTCACAGAGTTTTTATTGGTTTGCACACATAGATACAGACATTTTTACTAAACGTCAGAATGATGTCAGTCAGTTGTGTTTCTTTGCGATTTGGACCAAACGGTCAGTTTTTTTAACATCAGACTGTGAGATAAATAGTTTTCTGTTTTTCTCAGTTTTCAAATGTTGATTTCTTGATTTTTTAATACTAATTTGAGTTCAGTTGGAGGTATAAGGGACACATTTAGCTTAGGGCCTCTTTTCTGCTGTCTCACAGCTGGCTTCCTCCCCAGATTTGTTCAAATGTAAAAATAATACTCTGGAAGATGAATTGCTGTCAGAAAACCAATAAACAAATAAAAGAGGATTCCTCTGCTTCACTGAACACACTCAGCTACAAAATTACCTACAAAAACAACAGAGCTCCGTCCTTCTTTCAATCTTTTTTAGATTCTCTGATTACTTTTTTACACATTAAATCAGATTTAGTTGTTTGTTTGCGTCTGGAAAAACCGGCTGGACTTAATGCCGTTAACCTCTGACCTCTGTTACCTTTATTCCTGTGAGTTATGAGCCACAGGGTATCAGTGGGGGGTCATTTGTCACTTATTTTAGACCTATATATATACATTATTTATGTATATATATATATATTCTGCGTGGAATTTTGTATATGTATATATGTATAAATATGTATATGCTGTTGTTTTATTTATGGATCTTGTACCAAAAATAATTTCCCTCTGGGATTATTAAAGTATTTTATGATTCTGAATAAATCTATATATATATATATATATATTCCTTCTGGGAGCCTCCAGTTTCCCCAAACCTCCTCATTTCTCTCTCTGGTGTTTCCCGGAGGCTCTTTTCTGCCCAGATTCTCTCTCTGTTCCCGCATCTGCGGCAGTAATCCCGCACGGCCCGCACCGGCCGACCGGGTCCCTGTTTTTTTTACGTGCTGCCCGCGTTGCCACTGCGCATGCGCGCGCACCATCAGCCCTGTTTATTTGTGTTGAGAC